TTTGTAAATTATATTATTTTGTTTAATTGGGTCAACATACAAGGTCCTTTAACCTACAGAGCTTGCCAAATCTGAGTGAGTTTGTAAGTTTGAATGCCACCCTAATTCCTGCTTTATTAGCAATCCTACGTAGGGTCCCAGATGTCCCCTCCTTATATGGTATTACAGTGGATGACTTATATTCTCTCTTATTTATGTTATCATTACTAGTTCCACAATTACTTTTATTTTGTTTTTGGCTTTTAGTTATCTTCCTAATGAATTTCATAGGATAGTTATTCAACACCAACGCTTCTTCTATCCGTTTTATTTCGTCGTTTAGGTCTTCTTTTGTGCTACTTAGTGCTATGGTTCGGTTTGTTAGACATTTAACTAAGCCTGCCTTAACAGACAGTTAACGGATGAGACGAATTAAAATCTAAATATCTATTAGAATGCGTTGGTCTTCTATAAACACTAGTGTGAAGTTTACCTTCTTCGATTCGTTTTATTTTACAATCTAACATAGCTAATTCTTCACACAGTAATTGCCCTTCACGCATTAACACACAACCACACAATACCATAGTGGGATAGGGTTAAAATTCTAAAGAGTAACATAGGTAGGTGGTGAGAGAGGTTGATTACGGAATCCTTGTTCATTGAGTTTACACCCAATACATGCAACAGAAATGACTCAATGCAAATACCAGAAATATGAAAGATATTATTACTGCCGGTCAAATCAGAAGAGAATAATAAATAATCTTAATATTCTATTGCAATTCAAGCACATCACAACATTCTAAGAAGTAACTTATTATGACTATAAAAACACTCGTTTTATTTCCCATCTAATTGTAATTGATCAATAACACTCATATTATTATTTCTGAATGTACATTATCTCATATTGAATTTTATTCCAATATCTAATCGATTCCACACATGTATATTGATGAAGGAAAAAAGTTGTGTGAGTAACTTGATATGATTATGAGCAATAGTTTATGCTCGAAACGTCATCAGTTAATACTACTGTACAACACTGTGTGATTTATCAAAAATAAAATCTTATCCATAATGGAGTTATGCTCTACCACAGTGCCCAAGTTTTATACATACATCAAACTGTATTGCGAAATTTCACTTCAAAATGTGTAAGTTACAATTTGCAAATTCTACGTTTAGCCGAATTCCAATGTACTGATGAGCTGACTACTGGTCGTGTAACAGCAGAAGGTAAGACACGGAAGCCAAGGTATACTTTCAAGTGATCAAACCGCTATTTATATATACATATACAGTTTACATTCTTTAACTAATCAATCACCGAGCGTGTGATTTTGGTTTACATTGAACGACATAAAAGCGAATGTTCAAATATATATAGAGTATTCGACTGTGGGAATACTACTTTGGAATGCATTGTCTCTATCACACCATCAGAGTCTGACCTATGTAGTTGACTCCATATTAATTTCAAAGTATCTTATAGGGTAAATTATTTTACCTAAATCGGCCGGTAGGGTTTTTTAACCTACAGAGCTTGTCCCTAAGTGAATTCGTAGGTTTAAATGCCACACTAATATCTCTCTTATTAAGAATCTTAAGTAGGATTTCAGTTGTCTCTTCCTCATATGATAAAACTATAGATTCCTTAAGTTCTTTCTTATTTAAGTTATCGTCAATAATTCCACTACTATCTTTTCTTTTCTTATCTAGGAAGCATCATTTTTTATCTACAGGAAGTTGGAATGGATGAAGATATCAGAGCTGGCCAGTCAGGATCGGAAAGGCAAGATACGTCTTCATCGATCTGAAACCAGTTTGGAAATCTTCTGCTCTCACCCAGCCAGAATAAACAACAAGATTCAGATTCCGTTCAACACAAATGTCAAGTCGGTCAGTTAGTGTTTCCATACGGGTCAGAAACTTGCACTGCGTGTCACGGAAAGTAAATCCAACAAGTTACACACTTTTACTAACAACTGCCACCTTCCCTAGCTTCATACTGAAGATCAGATGGCCAGCCGGCCAGAAAGAATTAGCATCAAGAAACTCTGGCTGGGAACAAACCAAAAAAGCAAAAGCCGATTGCTCAACAAATATGTAAGAGAAAATGGAGATGGATCGGGAATAAGTTGAGCAGGCCATCGAATGATATCGCGCGCAATGTAAGCCACCACCACTTGAGGGGAATCTGAACTGGAAGCGACGGGTGGGTCGTTAGTGCGAGGGTGACATGGTGGAGATCATTTGGTGAGGAGCTGAGAGATTATGGGTAATCGTGGACCCAGCTGAAGAGGACAGCAGAAAATAGCACAAAGTGAAGATGTATTGTTGAAGTTTTATGTCCCACTCTGAACCCAATGGAATAATAATAAATAATTTTCCTTTTCCTGTGAACTTCCTAATAAATTTTGTGAGATAACTATTTAGCACCAACGCTTCTTCTATTTAGATATGATAAAGAAGATTTGTAGCTCAGGTGGATGATTTTGATATGGTTGTGTTCTCTGAGCTGGATAGTTAATTTGCGAAGCTTTCATCGCCCTACTAGACAACATCTTCAGGGCATACTTCAATTTGATGAAGTGAGCTTTGAGATTCCTCCACGAGTTTATTAATCATCTCTCCTGGTGACCTTGGACGTGATTGGTTGTTTTTGTGTTTTCACACCTTCTAGGTTATTTGTATTGTAACTCATTGTTTCTTTGACTTGAACTTTGACCCTTTGTGTGTTAGGTTTCTTTCTTATCGATTGGTAAATTTTGTCTATCTCGATGTGCCTATTGATTGACGATTCACTGGAATACCCAGCAGGCTTCTAAAAATTCTCTAGCATTCTTGTTGTTTCCTCTGTCTAATATTTGAACGTTGTCCCAGTCGAATTGATGTCTGTGGTTTTCTGTATGTAGTGATATGAGGGAGTGGATATCATGTCTTTTGACAGCTAGCTTATGTTCGTGGATACGAAGACGAAGGGGACGTCCACTTTGGCCAACGTAGTGTTTTACGCAGTTGATACAATCTATTTTATAGATGATGTTGGTTTTATCTTCTCTCGCTGTTGAGTCTTTTGGTCTTCTATTTATTTCATTTCATCAGTTAAGATTTTCGATCGGTTTTTCAGACATTTAACTATGCCTGCCTCTAAAGATAACAGGTAAGAGGAATTAGAGTCTAAATGTCTATTAGATTAGAGTGGGTCGGCTTTTCATAAACGCTATTGTGCATAGTTTATCTTCTCCTGTTCATTTTAATTCACAACCCAACACAGCTGATTCTTTGTTCATTTCCTCACTCTAATGTAAACTTAATCTTCTCTACGACTGAGTTTCTGTGTGTGAAAAAAAACTAGAGATATGTTCCCTCTTTAACACCAAAGAAGTGTCATCCAGATATCTCCATGACAAGTTTTGGGTAGGACTAAATATCTCAAGAGCCATATTTTCTTAACTATCCATAATGATATCATCTGCTATGCTTGAGGATACTGGTAATCCCATTGCTACCCTTTCTGCTTGTCAATGCATCCTACCTTCTTCTTCTTTGCTTTCTGTTTTCAACATAGAACTTTGCACCGATGTGCAAGAGTTCAAGTCGCCACACTCCCTCCTTGTAGCACACAAGCAAAAGAGAAAAGTAGAAGAAATGAAAAATAGAGATGGTAAACAGAGATATGAAGCCATGTCACCGATTGTCTCCAGCCTTCATTGGTTTTTACCGCCCCGAGGACCCCAACCAGGAAGTCTACATCTCCCTATGTGGCTTAAACTAACTGTTGTGGGTTTCATTGACTAGTGTCATGTTTTGGTTTGACCACCAGTGGCTCTTTTCCAGCCTGATCAGTCCTATGTCAGCTAACATTGCCCATTGTCGAGGAAGGCGATGACTAGGCAGGCATGCGTAACACATCTCAATAGATGTAACTTCACAGCCTTGTCAACTGATTTAGCCTCCCTCCTTACCTAGCACTCGACCAATGTCTAACCTCAATATTGTTCACCCTATTATACCACTTCACATGGGAGATAGAACGCAGACACCTATGATCAAAGACAACTAGCCAGCCTTTTCATGTCTTCCACTCTCAATGGTCAGGTCTCACAGCCATAAAAGAGGATGGAGCAAACTGCTACTGAGCAGTACACCCGCCCTTTGGTCGATAGCTGGATATCACATCTACGCGAGAGACGGCGTACACTGGCATGTGCGAAACTAGCCCTCTGTATCCGTGCTGAGACTTCGTCAGAGATCAACCCGCTGGTGCTAGCTGATGCAACTTCCCAAATAAGTGAAGCAGTCAACGTGCTCTACCACTTCACTCCCTATTTTTAAGCTAGGAGTGTGGTGAGAGCTGGCTGCTAGCCAAAGTTGGTAGACAGTAATTGACGTCAATGTTTATGTCCCCAATATTGATGGTGAGAAAATGAGAACAAAGGCTTTGCGTAGGCGGATTCAGTTAGCATATGGATGATCTGACACAGCCACAAAGAGATGCAAGGTTAACTTTCTATGAGAAACAACCAATCAAAAGACTGTATATTCTACTAAAAATAATGTACATTAAAATCTATAAATATGTGTTGATTTTCCTTAATAAACGATCTGTTGCCTGGCCCTTGTCTTCTGTTGTTACAGGAGTCAGTGGAGGTGAGACATAATTGAATTCCTAAAATAGTTTCTTTAGCGGGTAGCTATGAGTAAATCCAGGATCAGTAGTCAGTTCTCTTTAACAATTTCCGAAGTCTAACCCATGTATCCATTACAGTCCTACAGGAACTTGATCGCGCCATGAATAGATAAGTGGTAAGATCCTTTAAATGTACCGCTAGTTAACACGGGTCCGAATCTCACTTCCACCAACGTTGAGGATACACCTTGCTGACCATCGTCAACAAGCATGGAACTTAAGCTGAATACGACTACCCATCGATTACCTTCAACTAAATAACTAACATCAACCAACATACGTTTACACAGTTAATTCACATGAAAAAAACAAACACGTGAAATTACTTTTCGAAGTATTTATCAAGGGTACAAATAAGCTAAATGAAAACAGAATTTCACTATCATCAGCTGCACACAAAACTGATTTCATCGGATGACTATCAGGGAAATATTTGAGATTGCCATCGTCATCAAGGTGAAAAACTGTACAATTAGCTTGAAATGCTGCCGCTTGATTACTTCTTTTCTAACAGCTCCAAAATATCACCTTCGATATCCTAAAATGTAGAATTATTAAAGAGTATAATTGTTGTTGTTATTGTTATGATTAATGGGAAACACTGAGCATTAAAAACAAAATAATCTTGCCCTAGACAGTTGTGAATATTAAAACAATAAACAACTAGAGTAGTTAAAAATGATTTGAAAATAACTCGACACTGTTGAAAATTGCACTTTAAAGCCTGGAGTTACTTGTATTATTCGCCTATTCATCGACTGTAGAGAGGAAGGATGATCAGGAGGGGGCTTCGTGTGCTTTTGGAAATGTGTGGGCGGTTGTTACTTCCCGGCTGCGCACACCGTGGAAGTTGGCTTTTTCTTGGGGTGCTGCATGACCACAGAGTCCAGAGGGGACAATTGCTTGAGGTCGGTCACACAGACGGCCTGTCTGAACTGGCTTTTAGCTTTGGTTTCGTATTAGTCACTCACTGCCAGCTGCGGACCACCGTAGGGTAAGTAGGGATATACACTTTTTCTTAACTCCCTCTCTCCAGGGTGCAGAGACAGCATAGCTGGCGTGCATGCTGTTTATCTTAGGGAAACAACTTACTGCTGTTATATCCCTATTCCCCAGAAGTAAAACTTTGCCCACAGACCCCAAGCATTGCGTGGAAAATCTTATACTATGCTGCTAACTGCTTTTAGTCTAATCGCTAACCTAACAATCTCCCTGGAATAGTAGAACCTGTAGGAACATTAGTTGCAGCCAGGGTAGCTTGTTTGGTCATTGCGATATGCAAGTCCGACCACCACGTCAAGGTAGCAGCTATCGGTCGAGTCATCCACTGTTAGCAACTCATTTAGATAAAATGCTAAATTTTATGAAAAAGTGACAACCTTTCATTTAACTAAGGGATTTGTCAGTAAGCAACACCAAGGTCCAACTAAGATATTCTAGAATCTTTGAATAGACATTTTATTCATAACACCATGTGCAAGTGTATGAAAGATGAAATGCACACTCAACTTGGCTATAGGTTATTCTCTATCCACATTATTATTGGACGCTCCAAATATCGTTTCGAAACAACGGTGTCATATTTCACAGGAGGAGAAGGACATTAGTGAACTGATCATTTTGGTACTAGTGACTTACGAAAATGAAGAGACTATAAGCCTTAACAGTTACTTAAGTCAACTCCACAGGAATTAGAGTAAGTATCTGCATACCTTTACCTATATTATTATGTTTTTGGAAGATATGTGGACGACACTTTCGTTATCTGAGATAATAACGTAATTCTTGATGATGTGTTGTTCGCATTCAACAACTACCATCCTCCTTTACAATTCAACATAGAAAAGGAATCCGAATTAAGCATTCCTTTTTTGATGTGTCCCTTAGTAGACGCAGAGACGTATCTCTCTTAAAAGACCCATCCACTGGAAAGGTAAATGGAATGGACAACTAACTAATTTTTATAGTTGAGTGTTTATCTCCAGGAAAAGGAACCAAATTCATTTGCTCTGCTTTATAATAAGAAACATTAGTAATTTTGATTGCGTTGACACAGAACTTGACTTTCTAAAGGCCATGCTCGCAGAAAACGGTTACCTTAACCGATTTACTGAGAGAAACAACAAAGATTAGCGGCCCAAACTGGTCATCGACTCAGTTCCAAAGAACACCATATTCATGAACTTGGAATTCAAAGGTGATCAGGCCTCAGATATGCTCAAAACCTGTCTCTCTAAATCAGTCATTACGGCTTTCTTTGCAGCAAAATTACAAATGAAGTTCACCAACCGTAGTTTGTTCTCCATCTTTGTAAAACATAAGCTCCCTCATCTGATCGCCTCCATGTGCATCTTTCAGATCACCTGGTCTTGTGGATTAACGTACATTGGCCGTAGCCAGAGAACGCTTTCCACACGGATATGAGAACATATCCCAGCAGCACGGTTTTAAAAGGAAGAAACGAAGGGTGTGCGAAGCTCTATTCTAGAAAACCTGATCGACTCCTGTCACTCTACCAACCCTGACCATGATTTAACATCATCTATCGAATCCGTGATAACTTTCCAGTCTTCGTTATGGTCTTCTGAATTACTATGGGAATATGAAATATAGTGACTCAATTTGACGAACAAGACTACGTGTTAGTATCCTGACAGTATTAATGATGTCTACACTGAATGTAAGAATAGATTGCTCATAAAACAATTAACAAAATACTGAAGTGTATTCAAAAACCCTACATTTGACCCTTATTATACTTTAATTACTGAGAACATACACCAAAAACAACGTTTCTCATTAACTTACAATTGGAGCAGTTGTAGGAGAATATCTCTTAACTGGTTGACCTTCACGATCTACTAAAAATTTTGAGAAGTTCCATTTAATAGAACTGAAAATGTTGAAAAATTGAGAAAAAGAATTCACTCACTTTGTAAGTGTACCCTCAAGTCTACTTTTTAAAAATTTATAGAGGGGATGAGCATTAGGCCCGTTCACATTGATTTTTGAGAACATATCAAACTCAACACCATACTTTTCAGTTACAAACTTTTTAATTTCAGCTTCAGGCCATGGTTCCTAAAATTTTATATTGATATTAGTAAGAAACAGCATACCTGACTACCGAACTGATTACATGGGAAGGCTAAAATACGGAGACCTTTGCCAACCAGTTGAGTGTGCATCATCTGGAGTTGGCGATAATTCTTGTCAGTTGCACCTCACTTGCAAGCAACGTTGACTATGAGGCATACATGACCACTATATGTGAATATTATTGTATAATTTCAATTATGATTGAAATAGGATTGACATACCGGTATTTTTCTAGAGAAACTTCATTACCATCAATATCTTTTGCAGAGAAATCGTATATTGAATTTGTAGTACCATTAGTAGAAGACTAAGTATGCTAGTTAACGCGTACAAGGAACTTACCATTTTGAAGGTATTACAAATAGGATTAAACGCACGAAATATATATAATGCCCTGATAAAGGTCATCCTTCAGACTTAACCTTGACCGGAGTTATAACAAACAATGATGTGATTCTGAGGAAGAAACTTTTGTTTGTATTTTGCTGACTAAAAGTGAGTCATACTTAACATCGATATATACGATGCCTTTCTTCTGGCTAAATACAGTTTTTTGTGCAGGTGCATCCTTCTTAACTGATGAGCTTTTGTAATCCTTTTGATTTCCATGGTCTCACCTTCGGTGTTTTGAAGCTTTTTTAGTTTTCTGAGTGAATAAAATGAGATGGGTCTCTTCCGCCCTCTGGTGTGTATGCACTGAAGGCTAAATAGGGGGTAATCAACTTATTTTAAAGGAAATTTATTGTTTGTACTGAGGTAGTAACTCTACCAGGACTTTCATAATGGTTTTACTAAGCTATCCTCAAAGTGGACCAGGCAAGGTATTAGGAAAACGAAAAGAAATTTCCTAGAAGTGGTGGGTGAAAAAAATAGAAGACAAGGCAATAAGATTGAATGTACCACAAAAAACGTTTAGCAAGTAAAAGATGTTTTGGACCGATCAAGATGTACTGTATCCAGTCTCAACCACTTATCTTGGAACTCTCAAGGTAATTGTTCTGTTGAGACCACAGGTAAATTGAAATAACCAACTGACGGTACAAAATGCGAGTTATGTTTCTAGATCAGAAACGTAGTGCGATGATGATTGCTTAGCTAGGTAGGGTTCGTGTACCATCCATCGAACGCAACATTACAGCGTGGTAAATGGAGCTGATGCTTGACCACGTGCCTTCATCTTAACAGGTCCACCTAAAATAACCAAATGTTGGAGGAATGATGCAGTGGACTGATGATCTCGGGTAATTATTTGCATCTACAACAGTACGAGAAAAAGGAGAACTACCCGGAGATCAAATAGGGAATGTCAGGATAAATATTCAAGTTACCAAAGCAAAAAGGTAAGGTAATTGTGCTAACTGTCCCGTGAAACTTGACTGCCCATTCCTTAAAATGTGAGAAAACTTCTTCCTATGAATCCTGAGTAGTTCAAAATAAACCCCATTGGAGCTAAGTGATAACAGTATTTGATGCCAAAAGTAGGGTGCCAGTTCAGAGTAGTTTAAGTACTTATGGCTGTTTAGTCATTACTAGGGAGCCAGTCAGTTTGACTTTTAGGCAGCATCTGTAATAGTGAATCTATTATGACTAACGGGAGAACAGATGGTCACCAGTTACGGAATGCAATCGAATTCCATCTTCGCTGCCTTCAGTTTACCGTTATCTAACCTCACTGGTTTTGTGGAAAACTGGAGTCTTTATAGTTTGTATGTCCTTTGACCAGCCCTGGAGTTCTGAGGCTTGTTTCATTCTACTATTAGAAATTCCGTCAGCATTTTCCAAAATCCTCGGGCTAATACTGTCACAGAATGCACCTATACAGGTAAATATTTCCCCAAAATTATTAACCTACAGCACTCACCACTCAACAGTGGCTTTTATTGTCACTATTAAAGTCAACTCATTAATTCGAAAGTTCGTAGTCAGTCATCTACGCCATTTTCACGCTGTTGTGTTACGTTTGGCCGTTCGTTCAGCATCCAACAAATGACCAGAATGACTCAAACAAAAGTGTTCTGCCGTTAAGTAGGTATAGGTTACCTCGTGGAAATCCCAGAGGGTAAGGACTCGGGTGCGCTCCCACTTCTTTTCACTGCGGGCTTGCCGTCCCTGGAATTCCTTACCGGCAGATGTAGCTATGGCACCGTCTGTGAACGCCTTTAAGCGAAGGCGACACAAGGACTGCGTCCAAATGGCCTATCCACTTAAAATCCCATACACCATTCAGGGGTAGACAACTAAGTTTGTCGTTTTACTTCTTTACATTCTCTACCGTCTTACTCTCCTGACAACATTAACCACATTTATTATTATTATCCCTATATATATATTTATATGTATAATTCATGTTATTCTTCAAATTTAGTCAGCTAGCTGTTGTTACGTTTTCTTATTTCTTTTTCTGTCTGTTAATCTGAATAACTTCACTAATTATATCTATTGTTATTATCCCTTTTCTTTTGGCGACGATGCTGGAGGACTAACTGGTGAAAGGATCAACTCCATTCACAAAAGTAACAGTCTTAACACACCTCATACTACAAACCACATATAACTAATCCCAGCACTACTCCTTTTGGGGCTAACCAAAGCTATGACAGCCGATTGGCGGGACGACCTACGCAGAAGTTTACAGAAGACCAGGAAGCTATACCTCACAATCAAGAGGCAAGCACAAAAAAATCAAATTGGTTTATACTAGCTCATAAAAACGATATTGGATATTGGATTCATAGTTAGCTAAGCAATCATCATTGTACTATGATTCTGATCCTGAAATATATATCGTATTCTGAGCCACCAACTTAGTGTTTTGATTTGTTTTTTGCCTAGGCGAAAAAATACAGTGGAACTTGCAGAAGATAGAAACCTGCGTCGACATACATCGCACTTCGCGCAAAAGTCAACACTCCTTCATTCCCCTAAACTGGTGAGCCTACATAAGGACGTCTCTCAACCACTTAAACTGGTAAGCCCGCATTTTAACCACATCTAATCTGGTGATAATAACAAGAATTCCAGTGAGTTCATTCAATTTTATATTTGTTATTTTGTTATCCCTATTAAATTTTATCAAATCCTGTTTGCCGTGAACAGACACCTAAACTTATTCATATCTGACCGGCTAGCACCACCATTTAGTTCGTGCGCTTTTGGTCAGACAATGCAGAAGCTTCATTTCTGTACGCTGAGGCTGAATTTCAGGAATATGGAGTCGCCGGCTAACGCCCACAACACCTGGCAGTTATGCAGGCTCTGCTGCAAACGAGTTACCATACATATGTCAGCTCCAGATGTAAGTAACCATTACAAGTCGCCTCGAGCAGCCATTCTAACGCGAAATAATCCCCCGGATCTGCAATGTCTTAATAAACTCTTCTGTAAAATCGAAATGGGGGATATTTCAGCCTCACATATACTTTAACCAGCACGAGAGGCCACCAGCTAAGGAAAATTCCACGAGGGACTCTTTAGGGAATTTATCTAATCTGAGTTGCCACGGCTGGTGTATATTGTTGTTGTGACACTTCAGAGAGAAGTCGAAGATGGTTTAGCTTCTCTGGCCGGAAATATCGCTGTAGCCAGTTACTGGAGTTTGCTCAATCAGTAAACGATCTTCGAGTAGGGACTATGAAACGATAGAGCCACGTAAGTCAATAAGTCAGGTAGTTTCCTTGTTTCCACACACTGATGACGTAATTCACCGCAACCTATCAACTCGTCTGGTCATATGAATACCAAACCATGTTCATCTAGTAACCCTCACTGGTGCTATCACCGTACTACATATCGCATGGAGTTCAAGTGCTGTGAAAACCCCATAGTTTAAGCAAGGATTCAAAAACTTTGGGAAACTACACCGTTGGCACGCAGCAGTGACAAACGTAGCTAGCGACAATAGCCACCTACATCATACCCAAGATGAGGTTAACAAGCCCGGCATTTGGTAGACACAATTGCCGAAGACAGCAACCTTCCTGCCGCAGGGTTAGATCACCAGGAGGAAACCAACCTCAGCTTACCGACAGAAGACTCACTGCGACACCCAGGATTAAATACATTTGGCTGAAAGTAGGTCCACGCAAACCTATTCAGTGGATTTTCCTACTTGCAGATGTCACTACATTGTAGTAGTCGTGGACCCGCTCGTCTAACCTAATATACTCGTAGGTATTCGTCGCCGATGACTGATAGGTGATACTGTTGGAAACCACGAAGTTAGGTTGCTAGAGTGACTTCGGGACCACTTCCAGTTGGTTTCGACTAGAAATGACACCCACGATTAATATGTCGCAACGTTACCTGCTGACTCTTAAGCTCGGCCCACCTAACCTGCAATACGCAGTGATAACTATGCAATAACAAACTGGCCTGATGAACTTCTGAATTAGCTTCTGTGGTTGCTGTTGAATGTGAAATATGTATAATACTAGGGATGTTAGAGAACATTTAGCCCGTAATTTGCATTTACTTAGTTGACAGAGTACTCATGCTGACTTTAGATGAGGTCGCTGCATTGTGTGATGATGCAAAGAGAGCAATTTCGGGTCTTTCTTTTGCAACATCAGAGCATCTGTCATTAGATAATTAGTTGAAATCACAGAGGGGAGTACCTTCCAGCTCATGTCTTTGGTTCATTCTTGTCATGGTCATCAATGTTGGGTTAAGTGCAACAGACTGACCATTCTGCAGGAGATTTCTCCGGCTGCTGGGCTGGAGACTAGTTTGATGTGATGACTAGATCTCCATCCCACTGTTGAACTGACAAGATGGTGTGTGCGTTGGTTTTAACGTAATTTGTACTTTCCCGAATCATTCATGTCGTAGCTGAATTGGTGATGAAGGTCTACTGAATTAGATAAACAAGAGCAGTAGTGGGACTCAAAAACACCAGCTGTCACTCATAATATTGTAACTTTAAAAAGCAAGGTCGTTCTTTCTTTACCGTTTTGCATTTTGTCTTAATCTCGTTGTTTGTCTGAATGCACAATTTTGTCGACTGACAGCCACTTTTGGGTTCGGTCATTGTATTGTTGGAGTGAAGATAAGGGCTATCGCGATATATTTTCGCGCGCAGTATGGGTTATCGTGCTCATGTCTGTGAAGGCTTTTTGAGAGTCCAGTTTTGTGAAAATAGGACATACTTAATCAGTAATCTAAGAAGGTGATATTTTCCTGTATAATGTTCGTATTATTGCGTAAATGTGTTGTGATATTCAAGATGAACTACTGCAAAAAAAGTATACCCTAAGAGAATTCGGTAGCCTTAAGGGTTTGATGTCCCTGAATGGTTTCTAATTTTCAGGTTGTAAGTGGACCACAGGCAACAGTAAGTGTTATCGTAGTGATTCCATGAGATACAGGATTCTGACAAGGAATAAACACACAGACATAGGTTAGATATATATCCTGAGGAACTTGTG